TCAGCGTTTCATCGACCAAGTTTGTCGCGGTTTAGACTTCGCTTAAGGGTATCTCGATGACAATTTAATCGCAAGCTCTTCAGGAGAAGAGCACATGCGCCACGTACGAACAATTTTTGATCGTTTATCTCAACATGGGGTGACGATCAACACAGAAAAATTTTCATTTGGTGTCGATTCAGTCAACTTCCTCGGCCATTATACCTCCTACGCAGGCGTCGTGCCACTGCAGGATAAAATTCAAGCCATTATCGACTACCCCGAGCCTCATTCTTTCAAACAGCTCAGGAGTTTTGATGGCTTGGTTAACTTTTACCGACGATTTATACCCAACTGCGCCTCGCTGATGCAACCCCTCACGGACATCCTCCGAGGGAAAATCAAAAAGTTCGAATTTCCTGCCGCAGCTAGCGTTGCTTTTAAGTCGCTGAAAGAGGCTATTGCCAACATAGCTTCTATAGCGCACCACGATCCGGCCGCCCCACTGTCCCTCAGTACTGACGCCTCGGACGTGGCAGTCGGCGCTGTTTTACAGCAACGAGTAGCCGACACGTGGCAGCCCTTAGCGTTTTTCTCCAAACGCCTACAACCTACCGAATCTCGCTACAGCACGTTCGGCAGAGAACTACTAGCCGTGTATCTAGCGATACGTCACTTTCGACCCGTCCTAGAAGGCCGCTCCTTAGTCGTCTTCACCGACCACAAACCCCTAACTTACGTGCCCGGCTCGACTACCGACCGATACTCTCCTAGAGAGTCGCGCCACCTTGACTATATCGCTCAGTTTACGACCGATATACGGCATGTCTCAGGTGTGCACAACGCCGTCGCCGATGCACTGTCCCGCATCCAAGCTATCTCCGCTGACGCCGGCACTGCTATCGACTTGGCAGCCATGGCCACAGCGCAACTCAACGATCCTGAGGTTGAACTACTACGCAGGTCTCCCTCATTGGATATACGACTCGTTCCGCTGACATCATCAGACGGAACGATACTCTGCGATTTATCTCTGGGCACGCCGCGCCCAGTCGTCCTACGTGAGTTTCGGCACACCGTGTTCGACGCGTTTCACGGCTTGTCTCATCCAGGCGTTAGTGCATCGGTTAAACTCGTAACCGCACGATTCGTTTGGCGCAATGTTAATCGGGACGTCCGTACTTGGGCAGCTGCTTGCCTTCCGTGTCAACGCGCGAAGGTGCACAAGCACACGAGAAGCCCATTAGGCACGGTTTCGACGCCAGACGCACGTTTTCATCACTGCACGTCGACCTCGTAGATCCTCTGCCTTCCAAAGGCTCGGTTTATTTACTGACCTGCATCGATCGATTTGCTAGATGGCCTGAGGCCGTCCCCATCCCAAATTGCTCCTCGGATACAGTAGCGAAAGCTTTTATGGAGCGCCGGGTAGCTCAATACGGCTGTCCCGCCATCGTGACCACCGATCAAGGGTCACATTTTTCGTCAACGTTTGCCACGTTGCTTAAAGATTTAGGATGTCGCCACGTTCAGACGACAGCGTATCATCCGGCCGCTAACGGCATGGTGGAGCGTTTTCACCGCCAGTTGAAGGCAGCGCTACGTGCGCACGCAGATCCTTCATGGTCTGAAACGCTTCCCCTTGTTCTCCTAGGCGTAAGGAACACGGTTAAGACTGATTTCGACGCCACACCAGCGCAGCTAGTCTACGGTTGCACGCTGCGGTTGCCCGGACAGCTGGTAGCACCAGCCCCATGTACTTCCACTTTTGACTACGGAAGTTACACTGAGCGATTGGCTAACCAGATGCGTGAGTTACGCCCACCCGCTCCTTGATTGCAGAAGACATCAGTGTACGTGCCCGAGAAGCTGTCTACTTGTTCACACGTCCTTCTTCGCGCAGACGGTGTTCGACAGCCTCTTCAGTCGCCGTACATAGGACCCTTCAAGGTGCTGCATCGTGCGAGTAAGGCGTACACTATTGACCGCGGTGGTCGACACGAAGTCGTCACCATCGACCGTCTGAAACACGCCTTTATGGAAGAAACTACCTCGCCTACTTCGTCTAGTACCGCCTCGTGCGACGTCACAACTCACCGTACCAATTTTCCGCATGCTAGTGAAGTCCAACCAGACCACCATCACGGTCTGCAAGCTTCAGCAGTCCCGACATCACCCGAACCTAGTCCGCCGCCTCCCACGACCAATCGCCGTGGTCGGGAGGTACGTAAGCCCGTTCGCTTCTCCGACTATGTACAGTGTAAATACTTTTAACTTTGTAGATATTGTATATATTTGCCCCGTTTTTGGTCGATCAACGTTTTGAAAACAAACAAATATGTCAGAAACCTCCGAAAAACCTTTTTCAAAAAAATATTCAAAAACCAAAAAATATTTAAACACGCAGCTCATTCGTTTATTCTTTTTGGCGTTTTCTGCGCGTGTTTTTCTATTTTCTCGTCTTTACATGCCCCAACCCTCCCCTTCGCTCGACTGGCCCACACGAGGAATCTTTTCGAGGACCCTGACGCGAACACCGGTCGCTTCTCCGCGGGACGAGGATCGCTTCTCCGCGAGACGAGGGTCGCTTTTCCGTGGGACCATGGTCGTTTTCTTCGTGGAACGAGGGTCGTTTTGGCGCGGGGCGGGGTGCGGCGGGGGGAGAGACCACTCCCAAGCGCACCGTTTGGCAGCAGCGGAGGTTAAGGTCCTGTCGGCCTTTTCCTGGACTAGCCAGTGTTTTTGTAGTCCGACAAGCCCGCTCCAACGGCTCGCCGAAATGCACCCTGCCCTGCATTCAATAAATAACGGATCATAAACGGCACAGCGGACTCCGACTTCCGACGATCCCCCATTTACACGAACGCACGCTCCTTTCTACTCGGCACGATTTTGCCTTACGAACCTCGTTTCAACATTCCTTTTCGATTTCGCATGCTTTCTATGTTCAGCCTTCTAGGGGGAGCTCTGTAGCGCCCAAAAAGATAACTCTTTTCTTTCGTG